TGTATGTCTCAAAGTTGGCTAAACATTTAAATCAATTGATAATAAACCAGAATGATCCTTTATTGTTTAATCCACTGTCAGCATAAATTAAGCTAGCTGTAGCTTTAATATAGCATTTAAAGCAAGTAAAGTTTGTTGTATAACACCCTTCAACATCAGAACATAAAAATAGGATATACTGTCATAGCTTTGAAAATAAAATAATTTCTTTGTTTTTCTAAGTTGAAAGCTACTTAAGAGAAAACTCCAGGGCTCAATGTGTTAATTACACTTTTGTAATTCTAGTCTCTTTCTAGTTTTTAGAAACCACAACTCAAACAAGCTTCCTGTGTGAGTGGGAAACTCCATGCAGTCATTATATAACTTTTAACCCCCGTGTTCCTCATTACTTTCTGAGACTGGTCATTCAGTTGGTTTCACCACCCCTTTCTTAACTTTTTTCTGTCTGGAAAATTCAGTGAAACACTTAAGTCTTGTACGACAAACATATTCCTGATGTTTTCCCTTCATTCTACATGACACATTTGTCACCCAAAGGCTGTCAAAGTCATGTGCTGGTTATGTGCTTTATTTTAGTCACACAGTAATGAGAGCAAACAAAAAGAGCGCAAGACAAAATGTCCCATTCATACGTTGAATATGAATGAAGACCCTTTCATTCAACTTCCCCTTTCATTGGAACAGGGAAACCCAATTCAGTCATAAACAGTAACGAGGACTGGTTTAGTACACTTTGCTGATTCATCTCATAGCTCAGAGTGTTATGCTAATCACCTTAAAATGTCAAGGTTATTTAAAGTCCCACAAACTCTCTACAAACTTTTAGCTTTGGCTCATGAGAACATTGAAGAAGGATTGGTCAGACTTAGATATTAATTTGAACTTTTGACTTATATATTGCTCTTTGGTTGCCTGTGTTTGAAACAATTTCAGTAGAAAAACACAAAGTTGTTCCTTCCAAAAGGTTTGTCTTTTAGCAGTGATATAGGCTCAGTAGCTTTCTATGTTATTTATTGCAGTTATTTAGTGAGCAGTCATCTTTTTTTTTCCTTTATTCCATGATTCATTTTTATTAGGTTTTTCAGAGGATTGCTATAACTTACTTTGCAACATTGTAGGTTCAGGCAGTCGCAGTGGAAACCAAACCCTTTCCTCTGGTACTTGCTGTGCTTAGTCTACTCTACAGAGCAAGCAGCACAAAATTCTTTTATATTTCAGATCATGTGTAGGGGTCAAATTTCATATAAACACAACATTAATCTGTAAGTGTTAGTAGACTGACTGTAAGTCTTACAGTTTGTACTCATGTCTCAACTCCTTTTTTTCAGTATGTGTGACTAATTCTGAAGCAATTTTTCTCAGTTTCCCTTCTCAAGCAGTCGCTGCTCTTTTGGCTCTGGGAGGCAGTTCTACGCAGGCAATGGAACCACTAACCCTGACCTGGCATGTCCAGCATGTCCAACCCATCAGTCTATTGATTTGCTGCAGATGCATTTTGGCTCCAGACAACCTAACCAGCAGACTAAAGCCAAACATGAACACAAAAGTTTCCAAAACTGTCTGGCTAAGATTTTGATTACTTTCTCCAGGAGACAGATGAGCTTGTGAAGTTGGTCATTATTTTTGTCCTCTTTGGGTCCGGCACTGGACCAGAGCAGGATCTCCACGTCATGATTTAGTACTCCTGATTCCCCTCTAAGTTAGTTTGTCAACTAAAATATCAAGTTTTCCTCTTGGCCAACTGTTTTTGTGTTATTTAAACAGATGCAGTTTATCCCAGCCAGACCCCCACTGCGCGTGTGTTTGTGTGTGGTATAACACAATATAAACTGTTGCAAATGTCGTGAGCTATTGTCAGTGTACTGCCATAAAATGAACAGCCAAGTCTCCACTACCAGTGCTGCCTAGTCTGTAAAAGCTAGTCAGTCACTGCTGATATTAGTTTAGTGATCAGTTTAGGTTAATTCAGGTTTGTTGGTGTCAGAGATTGACCCTGAGGCTCCTGTTTCACTGTCACATGGAAATCAAGAGACAGTGACTCGTGACTGGTGGTCCCATCTTCAAGACAAGTAAACTTGGAGAGTGTGCTCCTAATTATTCGGGAATCACCAGTTTAACTGGCTTATACTGGTTTGGTGACCTCAGGATTGCATCTCCGCTTTTTGCCAATGAGTGGTTTTCTTGTTTCAATGGACCATGACCTCCAGCACACTGGGGAGGTTTGCAGCCGAGGGTGAAGTGGTTGGGATGAGGGTCAGCACCTCCAGTTCTGAGTTTGTGGTACTTTGCCAGTTAATGGTGGATTACTCCCTGCTGGTTGGGACTGAGTTGCTGTCCCAACTGAAGGAGTTCAAGTGTCTTGGAGTCCTTTCATAAGTGATACTGGTATGGGGTGTGAGATTGACAGACGGATTGGTGCATTGGGTTTTGGCTGCATTAATCCAGACTTTCGTAGTAAAAAGAGCTTTGTCTGAAGGTGAAGCTCTCAATTTACCAGTATATTCCAATCCTCACCTCTGTTAATGAGCTCTTTGTATGAGATCATGGAGACCAGTGACTAAAATGAGTTTCCTTTGACGACTGGACTTACCCTTAGGGACAAGTTTAGTTAAAGTGGTTCTGGCATCTGATTAGTAGCATAGTACAATACACCGTCCATTAACATTGTCCAATACAGAATAACACGGAAAAATTTGTAGACAAACAAAATGGAAATTAACATTTGAATTGGATAGTTGATATTTGAGACCCTCTCTATCATCGCAAGTGTACTTGGGCTGGATACTAAACCCACGGCCACTGGGGATGCACAAGCCAGTGCATTCCTAATTGCCGGTCCCAAGCCCAAATAAATTGGGAGGGTTGCGTCAGGAAAAGCATCCAGTCTAAAAAGCCTCTGCCAAATCAAAATATGTGGATCATCTACAGATGATACACTGCAGTGAACCCTACTGGGATCAGGCTGAAAAAGAAAAAAGTTGATATTTTGAGATATATCTCCCATCCTTCACCATCCTGAATCCCACTCCTTGTGTGGTTACAAATAGCCCATCCAGCTGACAAAGTCATTAATCATCAGTGGACTGAAGAATAGCAAATGACATGTGTTGCATTAAATCCCCAAGTGCAGTGTTTATTCAATAACTGAACATATACAGAATGGATGGTTCAATCAAATGCAATAATAAGTGATCTATGAACGGAAACATTTTTTTTCTTCCTGTGTCAGCTGCAGAGCTGTGAGGTTCAGTCGGTTGACAAGGAGGACACGGCAAACAGCAAAACGAATGCTCACTGGCATCGGCTTTAAACCCTGTTACTCTTATTAAGGGTGTCACTGCTTACTTGGTATGGCTAGATGCCCCAGAAATGCTTCACTTTCATGTCTGAGCTCTCCCTAAAATATTTTAAAATGACATGAATTTGTCATCTGTTTAATAATACATGGTATTGTCGTGAAAATTAAGCTTCATTTTGCTCTGAATGATGTGATCCAACAGTGATTCATCGTGTATCCAGTTGGATTTTTACAAATACTGTATATAGTTTAATTTGAAAAGAAGGCTTAATAATTATAACTTGGAATTGTAGTATTTAGCAAATGTTATTAAAACAGGGGGAAATTGCAATTTTTCGCTTTGGGTTAATACACATTTGGTGCAATAGTGAGTATTTATGGCAGCAGACTGTGTGTGGGATTGACTCAAAATAAACTAACGTCTGTGTGTTCATGGTAATGATGGAACATTTCTCTGAGTGCAACACTGTGGCTCACTGTTGTGTTTTTAATAGTTGGAGGACAATAGTAGACCTCTATAGCACAGAGTAATACTGTGCATGTATATTGGGGTCTGATAATATATTGAAGAAATATAGAAAGCATATGCTTTAATATTCTAACCTGGGAATTAATGTGTTAGATTTTAATTTAGTTTGAAAACAAATATAAGAACTGTAATTAGCTCAAACAGCATCATTGTTGAACAGACGAGAAAAATATCTACGGCTGTTTGGGACAACACATCTTGTCTTCTCTTTCACTTGCTATGCCATTACTCACTAATTTTCTTCTTTTTATCCTCTCTGTTGCATTTAAGTCCTCTTCATTGTTGCTTGCTGTGAAGTTTTCTTGCTAAGGTTTTCTGTTTTATGTATTGCAGGTTTAAAAAGAATTTAAAGGCCTTCTACTTTGTACATCCAACATTTCGATCTAAGGTAAGATTTATTATGGGAAGAGTTATTGCCATTCTGTTTATTTACTGGTTGATTACACATTTTGATTCATAAAATTCATATGAATAATTTGTATATTTCGGCTCATAATGACAGCCTTACTACATATATCTATTGAGAGATATGTTCCACCATTTTCACACTAACTTGTCACCACTTCAAACGTGTTCCCTACATTTTGTAAAACATTTGGTTTACGTTAAAACAAAGTTGTCATTCATTGTTTTTGTATGTAGTGCTTTTTAACTATACAGTACTTGGTTGGCATATTTCTTTTACAGTTGTGTCCTACTTCACATTACTTGCCATGACTTTAATGGATTTTGTGCTGTTGTAAAGTTTAATTTGCACAAACACACATCAGCCCTTCAGAAATTTGCCAGGTGCACAGAAATTATCATTTTAAATAGCTCAGCAGTATGTGTCCACCCCACACTTCTGTCCTTGGACAAAGCTCTAACATTCCCAAGATGAAGAATTATCCAAAATGTGTATTTAAATGCTAATCCTGATCCAGATGCAAAATCAAAATATATGTAAATATTTGTCTGTTATTAAAACAACATATCTAGGGAATTGTGCAGCTTTGGCGGACAAATGCACTGTCTGAGTGCTTTTTGGTTTATATCCGTTTCTTTGTTTACTGGAATTGCAGTACATTTTGGCCAAGCTTCCTCTTGGGGATCATTAAAGGTTCATTAGGCTTAATTTAGTTCTGTTGTTTGCTTTAAAAAGTTGTATTCAGTTCTGTCTTTGTTGGTTATGGCAAGATTAATATCCTGCTAACATAAAATAAAGATTAAATCTATAACTGATAAAGAGTTCCTTTCTTATTTCCTCTCTTTATACATTATCTCCTTTAAGGTCTCAACATGGTTCTTCACCACCTTCAGCGTGTCAGGGATGAAGGACAAGGTTCGCTACCTGGACAACCTGCAGCAGCTCTTCACCTGCATCAAACCTGAGCAGATCGACATCCCGCCGTTTGTCCTAGAATATGACGCACGGGTAAGCAGCAAGATGAGTCCTGAACGCACACACAGATGCACACATGGATATCATTGGCGCATAATCTACTGTATATCCATCTCACTCTATTCTATGACTGTATAGTCTATGACTCTTCATGAAACTCCATGGTCATGCAAGCTGCTGACCTAATCACCTAAAATATCACATATCACATACCACATTACCTGGAAGAAGGTAACTCTCCAACCTCTTTATTCAGTCCCTCGCCTTCAGATAAATCCTTTTTAGATATTTTAATAACATATTCTCTATATTTAAAATAATGTGTAAACTGAAGAATCTAAAGTTGTGTGTTCTTACAATGATAACATTAGCATGCCATATAAAACAGTACAGTAATATAGCAATCATTGAGTTTGGGCAGGGCTTAAGGTGAATCCCGCTACTGGTTTACTAAAACAACCAGATCCGGTAAGATGGGTTTAGCTTGTCTATAAATAGTGCTGGAACTTCTCCAGTAGCTTGCAGAAGATGTGTCCCTCAACATTTTAAGGGGGTTCAGGGCCAATGCTTTTCAGCCTTAGCTTGCCATATGGATTTTCTTAAATACAAGCCAAAATATCCAATAACTGTCTGGAAAACATCTTAAATTTGAATGATCCTGGTTACCCCATGTTTTAACTTAAAAAGGTTAAAAGAGCTCTGATGTGTAAAACTGACTGACTTCCTTATATATATTTGAGTGTATGTGTCTGCGGCTGCTTTTGTTTTTCACATTAATCGCAGGTGTCAAGAGACACACGGTTACATATTGAGTTACATATAGGGCCCGTCCACACGAGTACGT